TATGGCAGTAAGCACTCCAAATTTTGAATATACTGTAAAGTACTTCCATTGTTCACAAAAGAACCATGTTGTGAAAGATTAGTTTTTGCTTTAAATTGGTGGTTTTGCTTTTCAGAATTGCTGTTACTGCTTTAATTCAGCCTAGGTTGACATCTGCAGGCACAATAAGCCAGATAGGAGTCTAAAAACTGTCAACAATTCTAATTCCTCTGTCAAGACAAAGCTTTACAACCTTTCCTGAAGCACTGTATAAGAAATGATTTTCCATACATATATCAAATCAACTATTTACCAATTTGTAGATGTTCACAAAAGCAAGATAAGCAAGGGAATTAGAGAGACTAGTAATAAGAACTTACAGTTCCAGAGAATGTAAGAAGGAATTGTCCTAGAAGTTAAATTTTATCTATTTGTTTTAGGAAAATGTCAATTCTTTCAAGTTTTGTTGAAATGACCTTGATTTTTTTTTATTGATAGCTTTCTAAAGATGTTTTATTCCTGCCTTTATGATTTTTAGAAATAAGTCAGGCAGTGTACATAATCAACATGCCTTCTTCCTCCTATTTTCCCCACAACAAACTCATCAAGTGAGCTGGGTTGAGAGAGAGAGTGACTGGTGCAGTCACCAAGCTGGCTTTGATGCCTAAATCAGGATTAGAACTCACAGTCTCCTGGTTTTTTAATAAGTGTCTTAACAATTGGTTTGAACTGGATGATCTTGACAATATATAAAATACACATTAAAGGGAACTGATTCTATAAATACCAGACTTTCATACCACTATCCGAATAATTACTTTTTTTTATGAAGTATCCTTATAGAAGAACATTCCTCACTTGAGTCACTTTGTGTGTGCTTTTTTAACAAAATGAAATAAAAAGTAAAAATGATATAAAGTGTATAGCAAGCTGCAAGCCCATAGGCTTTACAGATATATAAAGACAAGACCATTACTGCAAATCAAAAAATATAACTAACAGACATGTGAATGGAATCTGGACATTTTATAATAAAAACACTCCAAAATAATGACAAACATATTTTGAAAGACAACATATTTAATTGAAAAAATCTCAAAGTTTAGATTTGACATGGAATGAAAGTTTCTGAACTCTTTTGTATAAGAGGATATATTGGAAGATGGGACATTGTACTCACAAATATTCTACTGTGTCATGGGGGGGGACAACTATGGTTTAGTATGAGTTAAAGATAATTTGACCAATCCAAAGGTTATTTTTTTCCCTCACCTCTTGGTAAAGCCTTGATAAGGCCACCTCAGGAAACCATCTAAGAGAGGGGAGGAGGGGCAGGTTAAAGTTCTTAATAAAAGTAATATCAGGAGGGCAGTGTAAGTGATATAAAAAGACAAAGTATAATAGGAATACTACATTATAAAATCCATCTCTACATAAGTTAGAAAAAAAGGGACTTTGTGTAATTGCCTTTACACAAGGCAGTTACATCTTCCATTTCTGTATTTAGTTGCCTTTTTGGTAAATGTTGTCTTTTTCTTATATAAGAACTAGGAAAGCTTTACATTCCAGTGTTTTGAATACTGGTAGAAAATGAAAGGTTTCATGTTAGAAGCCACAAAAACATTAAAATGATGATTTATATCCCATGACAGCACAGCACAAAAGATGTGATTGTGTATTCTGCACAGTTGCATTATGTTGTCTGTCAGAAATAAGTAAATCACAACCCTTTTCATTCAAATAATTGTTCCTGTGTTTTTCTAAAAAAAAATAATAGTAAACACTGAGTAACATCAGAAAACATAACATTTGTTAGGCTGCAATGCTTCCATTCTACTCTCTCTAATTTGAGTTGCATTGTGCTGGCTGTAAATAGAGCCAAGCTCTAAATAATATCTGAACTCTGACTAAGGGGAAGCTTTAAAGTCACTTCAGTCAGCCTGATCTCAAGTGAGCTAAGAAGCTGGAGAGTTAAGTCAAGTCACAGCATATGGAGGAAGCTATTGAAAATGCAGTTGAGGAATGCATAGGCCTGTTCATCTCCTTCAGAATTCTTAGTGGAGCAACTTCATTGAGGTTGCCTGAACATAAATTTTACCTGTACAAAATCAATTAATTAATCAGAGGCAAGCTAAATAACTAAACAATCCTTTAGCCAACTGACAGCCCTACTCTAAAAAAGGACATTTGTTTGTATGTAAGTGTGCATTAGTAATCAGCCAAGCATATAATTCTTCCTATCTACCCTGAACTAGCTATTGATTTTCTGCTCCATATGTAATGCCCTTAAAAAAGAAGACTTTTTTTTCCTGTTGCAAGGCATCCTTAGTTAATCTGGTGTAAATACCTCTATGCAGAGAGCACAAACTGTGTCCCCAAACACATTGCTGAGCCTCACCGAGGCAGTTGAAACATGACAGCCAAATTACAGTGCTTAATATGACAGAAGGAAAAGTCCATTAGCTACACAAGTGGTAATGATATTATTGATTTGTTTTACAACATCTTTAAATGAAATTTTGTTCATTTCCCGGGGCTAGTATCTCATAAACAAAGGTAGGAAAAGGCGAGGGTGTGATCCATGATTGATTCTTGAATGTCAATTTGCATGAAAAGTGGTAATAAAAGTGTGATTTTTAAAAAACAATTGAGATGGTTTTTTTTTTAAAAAAACAACTTTTGGGGGGAGGCCAATTGAACTTTTGAGTACAGAAATGCATAATTAAAGGAAGCTTTAATCATGTCTTTCTCTTTTCCCTAATAATGCAATTTTTAAGGCTGTGCATGCTTTGAAAATGATTTAGAAGTCTTTTGAAAGCTCAAGAACACATTGTGCTGCTGAGCACACATGTCTTTTTTCAAGCTTCTGTGTATGCCTGATAAGATTTCAAATGACCACACAGAGAAAAAGAAAAATTAAAGCGAGAAAACAGACTGGAGAAAGATGAACAAAACACACACAGGCCAACAGATTGTGTGACTTCAACAAACATAAATAGCACATGTGTATGTATGTACTGTATGTATGTATGTATATATGTATGTATGTATGTATGTATGTATACACACACACATTGGAATGTTATTTGGACTAGAGAAGTGTGGCCAGATGTTAGTCAATAGAGAATAGTTAAGACCGATGGGGTGGAACTACCAGCGGGCCACATAGCAGACATATAGACCATCTTCAAATACCTTGGTATCCCAAAATTTGTTAGTATCCCTCAAATACCAAGAAATCCCAAATACCTTGATATCTCACATGGGAACCATGATGAGAAGGGCAGGACATTAGCAACATCCAAGTACCAACAAAGGATAAGCATGTCCTGAAGAGTTAGTTCAATGGGAACAACAAGTTCCATGTCATTGACATTTATGCCCTGCCAATCATCAGATTCCCTGTCAGTATAGTGAATTGGCCAAAGGAGAACATGGAGGCTGCTGAAGTGAAAATTCAAAGGTTCCTCACAAAGTACAGAATATCCACCCCAAGTCCAATACTCAGAAACTGTACGTCAGCCAGAAAGAAGAAGAGCAGGATCTTGTGAGTGTCAAAGCCACCATCCTGAATGAAACACAAAGCATCTGGAATACCTTGGTAAATTGGCACCAAAAGAGGAGTGACTGAAAAAATGCTTGAGGAAGCACCAGCCATGGGTGAAAGATCAAGCAGAGGAAGTGCCATGACAATGCAAGACCCTGCATGAGATGTAGACACACTGGCTGACATTGAAAATTCTACCAGTGGCTGGAAAGGGCTGGACTGAACACTGAACATACCATTAACTAGCACCAGATCCATAGAAGCAGGGATCTACCAGATTAGACATTGTAGTCCACTGTAATTAGTTAGCATTATTGTGCCATGTAAAATAGGATTTAATTTTTATTTATTTGGATATTCACTGCAGTTGAATCTTTTCACAATTTAGATCCAGTAAATTATCCAGTACATTAAAATATCTATGGTATAACATTAATAACATACAATAAATCTGGAAAAATATGTGTGAATTATCTAGAAGAACCTGCTAGCAGCATAACTGAGTGACCCCAAGCAGGTTCTTCTAAAACAGCAACTCTATGTCAGGTAGACTGAGATGGATTGGAGAAAATTGTTCTGGAATACCTCATACCTATGTCATCTAGGACTAGCCAATTTAAACTGCCATTTAAATTGCACTTAGAAGCCAATAGAAAGTCAATCCAAGGACTAAAACACAGATGTAATGTGTTTCTGTCAGCAAGTATTTTCCAACAGCCAGACTATTGTAATTTGGACTAGCTCAAACTTTTTGAAGGTAGTCCCAGGTAGAGTGCATTCCAGATGTAAATACAAGACTGTCTTTCCCACTTGAAATCAACTTGTTCATTCAGCTGATGATGGGAATCTGAGGCCCAAACACAGTTTCTCAGTTGTAAAGTAATTAGAGTAGTAGCCTTGTTTTTTGAGGATTACATCCCTCTAATACAGGGCTGTCGAACTCCTGGCCCATGGGTCAGATGCATTACATGCTGGCCATGCCCACACCTGGTTTAGCGAAGGGGGAAATAGTCCCAATACATCATGTGACCCCGCCATGACAATGTGGGTTTGACACCTCTGCTCTAATAATTGGATTAACTAGCTTCTTCAATGATCAATGTCCAAAAATTGACTAAAGCAGAACTTTTGTGGAGTGTGCTTGGAAATTACTATGATGGTGTTTAATTTATGGTTCTATTTTTGAACTTTAAATTATTCATTTATTTTTTTTATTGCTAGTTCTATATGTGTGGTTATATTATTGTTAACTCCTGAAAGCTGTTATGTATTGCCATGAAATCAAATCAATCAATAGCATGGGGACCACATCTGCTTTCTTTCACTCAGAACTTTGGTGAAGAAAAATAGTTGTTACGGATGAGATTAATGAAATATAGAATATTTTTAAAAATAATAATAAATTCATTTCTATAATTGAGACAGAGCAAAATGCTGACACAGTTAATCAGACATGATAATATTGCTGTATTACCTGTCCTGCTTTTGCATTCTCGCAAACAAAAGTTTCATAGAACTTGGCAAACTCTGGGGCATGATCATTTATATCCAAAATCCGAATGAAGATGGGAGTCTGAGTACTTTGTTTTGGATTGCCTGAAACAAAACGGACAAGATGGAATTTGATCACAATATTATATACTTCTTTTTCTGAGATTCAAGAATAAGTGTCAGTGCCTATGTTGTAAGCATGGCACAACTCAAAGTATGTTTTAGAAATGTCGTTCTGAAATAATATAATAGCAAAAATAAAAACAAACAATGTATTCCAAGAATTAGGAGCACTTTCATGGCCATCTACCGAGGGAAACAGAGGAGTAAATAATGAAATATGAAATATGTCTCATGACATCTTGACACAAACTCCATTTTTCTTAAATCATGAGTTTCATGCAAGTAGGTAGGGGGCAGAGCTTGCATTGTGATATCATAATGTTGCTCTGTCATTTTGTCAAAAGCTTCATTTGCTACCATTGCCTGTGGGGATATCAAAGTATTTATTTGGCAGAAGGAGAGAGTATATAGATTCAGTGCAATCCTATATATCTCAATTCAGATATTTCTGTTTTCAACTGAATGTCTTACCAAGTACATTTTTTTAGTGTACATAGGACTAAAAATAATAAAACCTTTATTTTGGCCTTGGCTGTCAAGGGCTCTGTGCAATTAAGACATTTCTAAAGTTATCCCACCAAAACTGTTTTGATTGTGGCAATATAGAAATTTAATACATGAATAAAAAGCAATATTAACATTTTATATTGAAGCTGAAATCCAACACACTTTCCCATTGACTATGTAGGACTTCCTTCCAAATAAATTTGTAGAGGGACTAGGCTTTGTCATCACTTTTTAGAAACTCTCTCTAATTGCAGCAGTCCCATGTTTTTACTCTGGTAGACTAGAGAGAGAGAGCCTATTAACTTTCATGTAAAAATGAAAGAGAAGATCTAATGCTCAGCACGGCAGATGTACTTTGCAAGAAAAAGTTCACTTTCCCAAAGGTGCTTTTTCAGGAGCCAACTGGACTTTCTTGTTTTTTCTTTGAAGATGTTTCACTTCTTATCCAAGAAGCTTCTTCAGCTCTGACAAGATAGTGGGGAATGGAATCCTTCCATGACCTGGATGACTGAGAATCTCTACAGACTTTTAGCTATACAATTTGGTATGAATACCCTTTGAATGGTTTGGGAGTAGGAATGGATTTCTGGAGGTGGGGGGAGGAGGGGATTGCAGACTACAGGAACTGGGGCACTACTCAGGTGACCCTGAGGACACAAATAAACCTCAAAGTGCTTCTAAAAGGATGCAAATAACCAGCTGTCTGCAAGGAATATAAATCCTTCCATTCCCCACTATCCTGAAGAAGCTTCTTAGATGAGAAGTGAAATGTCTTTAAAGAAAAAACAAGAAATTTTTGTTGCCTCCTGAAAGAGCATCTTTGGGACAACAATGATCTGGATGACGGAGAATCTCTACAGAAAAAGATCACTGGTTCAATTTTCAGTATTTTCAATTCAGATGAGTAAAATGAAACTGGACGGTTGCTTATAATAAATCAGAGAAACTATCTATTAAATTTAAAACTGATGGGTGGGACATTCTGGCAAGTTGTTGAGTAAAATTGCTCACCATGTTTGCCACAATAATTTGGTCAAGCAAAATCATTACATGTTCTCTATTTAGCGCTGATCAGTAAAAGACCAGTTAAAGCTAGTTTAAAACTATTACCTATTTTCTCACTAGATTTTATGGCTATATCATGTACAGTTTTCTTACTTTCCTTATTTTATTTTTTAAAAATCATTTTCAGGATTATTAGCAAATGCCGGAAAAAATTACACTGGTAAACTAACAAAACAAACAAATCTAGCATATCTTGAAGAAAAAAAGTATGCAAGGATTTGTTTTCCGTAGGTCTGTTCTGCCATCTAGTTGCAGCCTGGATTTTTGAAACTCATATTTGGTAGCCTTAAAAATTGTTCATCTTTATTAGCATTTAAAATGCACTAATATCTTATTTCATACATATTGTACTAAAAATGAATTTGTAAAACCTGTAAGTATAATTGTATTGGGTGTCATGTTGTATAAGCAAAAATAGTGGAACATACATTTGGTTGCTGGGTATAAAGTCATAGATCACATAAATAATAATGCATGGATAACATTTCAGCTTTCAATATAGCATTTCCTTTTCTTCCTTTCAAACTGACTTTATAGCGTACATACAACTTACTAATTTCAGTTGCAACAACAGTGAGGTTATGCCATGGGGCTGCTTCTCGATCAAGGGTCTTAGAAACAAATATTGAACCATTTCCTGAATAGATGTTGAATATTCTGTCAAAATCAGTGTGGCGATCCAAAGAATATCTACCAAATGATAAAATAAATCTTATTATCTTCTATTACAACACTGCTTTGATTTTTGATTTTTTTTGTTTTAAGAAAGGCTTAAGATACTGGACAGCTACAAAAGTTCATCCATTTAATAGTATAGAGTTAGCAATGGAGATTGTTCCCATTTTAATTTAAGGAAAAAGAAATAAAATGTATTTATTGATTGATTTGCAGAAATTTATTTAACTGTTCAACTCAAATGGCTCTTGGCATTTTTCCTGGAACAAACAGAAAACAGAAGAAAATGCAAGGAAATAGAAGAAAAGTCAACATAAATATATCTAATACTGGTTTTTCTTATTATTATTTTCATGTATCAGTTAAATGTACACTTCCACAAAATAGCAAAAAAGAAAGAACTCCAGCATTTCAAAAACCTAAGCCATTCTGTTGTATTTGTACTCTTATACAGCCATGTCAAAATACCATATGATATGTAATGTTGTTATGGATACCAGTTTTGATACTGCCATTAGATGTCAGAAGTGTGCCAGTGTCTAGTTTAGGATGTATACTTGTATTTTTCATAAATCTTTCTCTTATTCTGATTTACTTCCCAAACAGTTGTAATGACAACATACAAAAGAGCCTTGATAGTACAGTGGTTTAGTGCACCCTGTTATTAACACAGCTGCCTGCAATTTCTGCTGGTTCGAATCTCTCCAAGGCTCAAGGTTGACTCAGCCTTCCATCCTTTCTAAGGTAGGTGAAATGAGGACCCAGTTTGTGGGGGCAATAAGCTGACTTTGTATAAAATATACAAAAGAATGAAGGCTATTGCTTAACGCATTGTAAGCCGCCCTGAGTCTCCGGAGAAGGGCGGCATATAAATCAAATCAAATTAAAAAAAAAAAAACCAGTAAAAAGATGTGCTAAAAAAAAAAAAACAATTCTGGTGATCGGAGTTTCCACTCTAATTAATGCTAAATTCTGAAGAACCCAACTATAATTCGTTTGCAGGGTGAGGAGCTCAGTTTTAATGGGAAATTTCCAGGGGTGAAATGTTCCCAGTTCGGACCGGATTGCCTGATCCAGTAGCGATGGAGACGGGTGGTTCGGAGAACTGGTAGCAAAAATCCCTGCTCCCCCACCAATGCCCAGCTGAGCCGCACAATCATCAGAGGCTTTTTTTTTTACTTTTAAAAGCATTTTTTCGGCCGAAGAGATTGTAGAAAAAATGCTTTTAAAAGTAAAAAAAAAAAGCCTCTGATAATCACGCGGCTCAGCTGGGATCGTCAAAGGCTTTTAAAAGAAAAAAAACCCTTTTTTCTTTTAAATGCCTCTGACGATCCCAGCTGAGTTGCCTGATCGGCAGAGGCTTTTTAAAAAAGCGTCTGCTGATCAGGCAACTCAGCTGGGATCGTCAGAGCCTTTTGAAAGCATTTTTTACAACCTCTTCACCGAAGAGGTTGTAGAAAAAATGGTTTTAAAAGTAAAAAAAAAAAAATTGGCCACACCCACCCAGTCACATTACCCCCACCACCACCAAGCCACGCCCATGTAACAAATTTTAGATTTCACCACTGGAAATTTCCTGAGGTTTTGAGAACCCAGAGAGGAAAATTGTGTTTTTTTTAATGCATTTGCCCAAGTTGTTTCTTTCTTTGCAATGTTTAATTTCTATCTTTCAGTAAGCAAACTGTGAATTGATGGATCACATTTGGGGTGGATTAAAACAATGCACATTACCCTACAATATAAAGTAATTCTTGTCTAAGATGTGATTGATAAGAAATCTTTTTTGTTTGTTTGTTTGTTTTACCACTTATGGTTGTCATTGTTAAAGTACGTTTCCAAGCTTTATGCACTTCGCAGACTATTTTTTTTAAAATATTAAACTTTTTAAAATATTACTGTTAACATTTCTTGATAACAATTGGATAATTGTTGGATAATTGCAGCATTATAAGAAATTACATATTTATATAGCAATTGTATATAACACAATCTATTTTAAAGAAATCTAACTCTATACACTCATACAGCAACATACTTAAACATAACATAACAGAAAAGATATAAGAAAAAATAAAACAAACTCAAACACCTAAGCAGCAGAAAAGATTTTAAAATCTTCAAGCCAAAAAATGTAAGGTGACTGATAACAACTTAAAAATTAAACAAAACTAAAATGTGTTTATATACTGTTAAACACAAAAACCCACACCTATTTAATGTTAAGAAAACAAAAAACAGGCTATTAAAATGATGCTAGGTTTCTCCCCTTTCATCAATATGGACATGTAGACCATATAGAATCATTACATGCATTCCCATACATACTGTATATGGCACACTGCCATTTAACAAATACATAACATTCAGGTAGTTCTCAATTTACAACCATTTGTTTAGTAAGCATTTGAAGTAACAAGAGTATTGAAAAAGTGACTTCTGATTGGTCTTCGCACTTATGACCTCAGTCATGGGATCAAAATTTGGGCACTTGGCAACTGGCATGTATTTCTGATGCATGCCATGTTCCAGGAACATAAGATCACCATTTGCAATCTTCCCACTTGTTTCCCAACAAACACAGTAAGAAGACAGATTCGCTTAAGGCGGCACATTTCATTTAGCAAATACAGTTATTTGCCTAACAGCCATGGGAATTTTTTTAAAAAATCAGGTGCAACTCGTTTAAGAATTGCTTTGCATAGCAATGAAAATTATGGTCCAAATTTTGGTCATGTCATATTATATTTAATCAGCTTTAGGACTATCTAGTAGATCTAAAGAACATTGAAATCCACAATATTACCCTTCACATTACTGTCCCTTGTTTGTGATGTATATTTGTATTAACTATAATTATGATTCATTATGAAATACTGCAGGGCATTCATTTTCAATCCAACAGTTCTTCTGCTCCACCCAAAATTAAACAGAGATATATAGATCACCTGTGGTTGGCATCAGATTGCTTCGTAAATAAAATGAGACATCAATTGTTAAATTAAATAGGCTAGAGCATTGGTGGTGATGAGATTCATAATTTCCAAAGGGGCATTGGGGAAAACTGTCTACTTTTCATGAATGAAGCTATTTTACCTTATTCAGCTTAAAGGGTGTTATGTGGGTATGTGATCCTCACATACAGCTGACAAAGACAACCAAGACTATGGAGAGTTTTAGACTGCTAAAAGCCTTGGGCAAACTGGTTGGATATCACAATTAGAAACTGTCATAAGAGCAGGTTGGAAATCACTATGAGTCACGGCTATAAATATTGTTCCTGCAAGACTTCTTATGCCTGATGGGCTTGTGGTGGTAGTAATGAAGATTCTTCTGTGCTTCATATTTAATCCAAGCAGAGTTGAATGCAGTCAAATACTCACCTCATTTTGGTGGCAATTAAACTTGTCTTAGAACCTGGATTCAGACTGATCTTTGACCTATCTGAAATCAGCACTTGGACAAATCCCAACCTGTGCTATCAAAGGCAAAAACTGGGAGATGGTTCTTTTTTCTGGTCAGAAATCCTTTACCAGTGATCAAAAATCGAGAACCATGAGGTCTAGACAACTCAGTGTGGGCAACTCACCATGGCCAACTTGCCACCACCAACTGGCCACAGTCAATTTGCTGCAGCCAACTCACTGCAGGACAAGTCACCAGGGCCAACTTGCCACAGGACAAACTCATTGCCGGACAAGAGTCACACTATTGTCAAAGAAATGGTGGAACAGAATCATTAAAGAAAGAATGCAAAAGGGGGAACAAAATGAAATGTGAATGACTAAAATTAAAATATTATTTAAATTATTTAAATTGAATTGTTGAATTGTACCACAGAGAGTTGTCCCGCAGTAAATTGGCCACGGCAAGTTGTCCCATGGTAAGTTGGCTGCATCAAGTTGGCCATGGCGAGTTGGCTGTGGCTAGTTGGCTGCATTATTTATTTTATTTATTTATTTTTATTGCAATTTATATGCCGCCCTTCTCCCGAAGGATTCAGGGCGGCTTACAAGATAAAAATTCAACAATATGAATTAAATATAAATTAAAATCCAATTAAAATTAATTAAAATTATTACAATGTAAAAACCACCTCAACGGGTCAGTCCATTTGATGAAAAAGCCACGTCTTCAGTTCGCGGCGGAAGGAGAGGAGGTCGGGGGCTGTCCTAAGCCCGGTGGGCAAACCGTTCCAGAGGGTCGGTGTTCCCACAGAGAACGCTCTCCCCCTGGGGGCCGCCAGCGAACATTATCTGACTGACGGCACCCTGAGGAGGACTGCTCTGTGAGAGCGCACAGGACAATGGGAGGATGGCAGAAGATGGTCCTGCCTAAGCCATGTAGCCATTAAGTTGTCCCATTCCAAGTCTCCCTGATTTTTTTCCCCACAGAGTAAGGTAACATTTGCAAACTCATCATAAGAAGGCTTGACATATCAGTGCAAAGGAATAGCAATACATATGGCAGAAAAAAATGAAAACCTTTGCACCCTCTGCCACCTTGAGAGAATGAATTAGGCACAAAAATAAATTCTTAAACATCCTGTGAATGAGATAAACCAAAGCCTCTTTTGCAGAGAAACTATAAAACCAATTGACAGAACTTTCATGTGTTCCACATTACCAGTGTTTTCGTCCCCAACCCCTGGAGGGGTGGGATCTGAATTTGATTCACAGCTGTCTATTTTCAAAATCAACTTTTTTTGCTTTACCTATATAGCTAACCAATAGAATAATGGGGAAAACATTATTTGATAGACATCAGTTTGTGCGCATTGGAAGAAAAGTTCCCAACTCCATCTCCTTGAGTACGGGTTCCCCACAGGGATGTGCCGTATGTCCGCTACTGTTCACCTTGATGACCCACGACTACTGTGCCAAATCTGCTATGAATCAAATTGTGAAGTATGTGGATGGCACGACAGTGGATGGTGTAATCCGGGATGACAATGAAGATGCTTATAGGAAAGAGGGGAAGGATCTGGTGGACTGGTACAATAAAAATAACCTGGTTCTAAATGTTAATAAAACCAAGGAGATCATTGTAGATTTTTGAAACAGTCAGCATAGTCATACTCCACTCAGTATCAAGAATGCAGCTGTAGAGGTGGTCAACCATTTTAAGTATCTGGGGATGCAGATAATTAACAATCTGAATTGGTCTCTCCACAAGTCATCCTTAGTGAAGCATACAAACCAGCATCTGCATTTCCTGCATCGGATGAGGAGAACAGATCTTTCTACAGCTGTCCTGGCCACTTTTTACAGAGGCACAATTGAGAGTGTTTTAACAAACTGCATCCCTTTTTCCTTTGGTGGCAGCAGTGCCTCAGATAGAAAGTCCATACAAAGAGTGATAAGGACAGCCGAGAAGATTATAGGAAGCTCACTTCCTATTATTCAGGATACTGCTTATAAGCACTATGTGCTTAGAGCTGAAAGCATTGTTAGAGACCTCACACACCCATTTTACAATCTGTTTCTGTTGCTCCCATCTGGGAGGAAGTTCCGAAGTATTTCTAACTGGACTACCAGATTCTGTAACAGTTTTGTTTCCTACACCATCCATCTGGTAAACTCACAAGATTTGTTTTCTTGCCATGTACATGTATACATCCGAACTAGACCATGTTGTTATTCTGTGTCATACAATATGTGTTGGTATATGCATAATTTTGTATTTATTTATTTTGTCATGTTTATGTAGTGGATATTGGAGGTGGTGACCCTTTGAGAGCTGTATGCAATGAAATTTCATTTTAATGTATGCCGATTTGTGTACATTCAAAGTGACAATAAAGTTATTCTAACTATAAGTCTAAGTCTAACAACACATTTTTTTTCTTTATTATACCATGTCTTTTTCTCTTTTAATTTTTGTTTTTAACTACATGGGCTACCCAGAGTCATTTCAGAGTTGAACAGCCCTCTAAATCTAAGAACAGATAAATAATAATGAATTATCCAATCAGTGTTATGCTTCACAAAGTGTAATAAAAAAAAATCATTTCAATTCCTTCCACCAACCTGAAACAAAATAAATTGCTAATGCCTTCCTCCATACTTTTCAGCGTGTGTACGTGTGCATTTATTCTGATAGATGGAATAAAAACTGAATGCATACTGTGAAGTGAAACTATATTATTATAAAAAAATGCAGAATAAAAGTAATAAAAATCTTCCATAGGTTTTCTGGTTGTCTTGCCACCATTTCTCTGATGCATTTAAAGACCCCTGGGAAGTGTGAAGTCAAAGGATTGAATGGTGATTTTACCATCATGTGTTTTACTCAATACCTTTTTTCATATGTTCATATTTGTATTTTTTTCAGAAAATATACAAATAAAAACTAACAAAAGCTAACAAATAGTATGAAAGATAAATAATAGGGAAAGGGGGGGTGTCTGAAAAAAGGTACACAATATATATATAAATGACTTCCAACTTCTTCCGCAGATATAAAAAGCTTTTAAAATTCAACCCTTACTTTAACTCTATATAGGTAGTCCTTGACTTATGACCACAATTGACCCTAAATTTTCTGTTACTAAGTGAGACTTTTGTTAAGAGAGTTTTGCCCCATTTTGCAAACTTTCTTACCACAGTTGTTAAATGAATTACTGCAGTTGTTAAGTTACTAAAATGATTAAGTGAATCCAGTAGTGGGATTCAATCAGTTCATACCACTTTGGCCGAACCGGTTGTTAAATTGCTGGCTGGCCCCTCCCCTTCCCATCCCTTCCAGAAGTCCCCCCGTATCCCATTTGGCTCCCAGGTAAGTGCAGGGAGGCCTACTAGGCCCAAAATGGGGCACGGGTGTGTGTTTGCGGCGTCCCCTCCGTGGCCCATTTTTCCTCCCAGGAGGCTGCAGGGAGGCCTATTAGGCCCAAAATGAGGTGTTGGGGTGCGGCACGCCCTCCCGGTCCATTTTTGCTCACAGGAGACTGCAGGAAGGCCTACTAGACCCCAATCAGGGCGTGGGGGGACAGAGCCCCCACGCAGTCCGTTTTTGCTCCTAGGGAGGTGCAGGAGGCCGAGTGCTGCCTGTCAAACCTCCTGGCCATGCCCACCGTGACCATGCCCACCCAGCTGGTCATTAGGGCAGAGAACCGGTTGTTAAATTATTTGAATCCCACCACTGAGTGAATCTGACTTTCCCATTGACTATGATGGTCAGAAGGTCTCAAATGTTGATTACATGACCCCGGGACACTGCAACCACCATAAATATGAGTCAGTTGCCAAGCATCTAAATGTTGATCACATGACCATGGAGACGCTACAATGGTCATAAGTGTGAAAAAGAGTCAGGTCACTTTTTTCATTGCCATTGTAATTTTGAACAGTCACTAAATGGACTGTTGCATACTGTAATGTCCATTGTCTCAAAAAAATTAGTAAGTTTTAACAATAATCAACTTCCTATGTCATAGCTTCCCCCCCCCATTTCCTGCAAAAAAATCCACAAAAGCTTCCAATTGTAAATGATTTTCTTCAGTGACATTTCTCTTAGAAGAGCTGATAATTTAGTGCTATTTGCCAGTTCCATCACCTTTACTAGGTGTAGGTGTCCCAGAATTGAGTATACAAAAGTCGTGCTACTGTTATTATATATAGCAATAGTACTATTTCCAGCATTTTATCCAAAATCCTTAAAATAAAAACCTCTGGTCTGAATTGTGTATTAATTTGTTTTTAATCGAATCGTAAATTTGAATCCAATATATAGCTTTTTGTTGCATATTACTACAGAAGCTGGCTTGGGTCAAGGAGGAGAGGAAGTCCAAGAAGAGAATGCTGAAGTTTTGAAGGAGCAGTGAAGCAATGGCTGGCTTTAATTTCAGGAGACAAGAGAGATGACATGAGTTGACAGAAGAGAAGAGTAATGACTAGTGGAAAAATTGTCCAATGATGTTATTGAGAACTACACAGATCAAATGAAAACTATGGCCATGATGCTGCTTCCAATAAACAGGAGTAGAAGCAGGATTGGGAGAGGAACTAGCTCAGGGGTGAAATGCTCCCGGTTCAGACCGGATTGCCCGATCCGGTAGCGAAGGAGGCGGGTGGTTCGGAGAACCAGTAGCAAAAATCCCTGCCCCCCCCATAGCCCAGCTGAGCCGCGCAATCATCAGAGGCTTTTTTAATTTTTAAAAGCATTTTTTCTAAACCCTCTTGGGCCGAAAAAATGTTTTTAAAAGTAAAAAAAAAAGCCTCTGATGATTGCGTGGCTAAGCTGGGATAATCAGAGGCTTAACAAAAAAAAAAGCTCCTGCTGATCAAGCAAGTCAGCTGGGATCATCAGAGGCTTTTTTTTTAAAAAAAGAAAGCCTCTGCCGATCAGGCAACTCAGCTGGGATTGTCAGAGGCTTTTAAAAGCATTTTTTTTACAACCTCTTCAGCTGAAGAAGTTGTAGAAAAAAAATGGTTTTAAAAGTTAAAAAAAAAAGTTGGCCACACCCCCTCAGTCATATTAACCCGCCCCCACCAAGCCACGTCCACAGAACCAGTATTAACAAATTTTACATTTCACCACTGAACTAGCTCCTCTCCCACAAACAGATGATAGTGTCAGATTAGTTGGGAATGGAGTTGATTTCAAAGTGATGCAAAGCTGTAGCAAAGTAACATTTATTTAGTCACAACTCTATTATACCAAAACAGTTTTATTGACCCTCCACTGCAGTCAATAATTATTTTAGTTATTAACTACTTTGGGCCAAGTACTAGTACAAGCACAATATGGACTGAAGTTAGCATGAATCTTTTGCTAAAATCTCTTTATTTTGTTTAAATGTAGTAAGTAATTTAAATAAGTAATTATACTTATAGTTTGTTCTTCCCTAAGAAATTAGAGTGGTGTGGGGTGAGGAACTTCCTTCATTTATTTTTTCAATGACCCTGCAAGAATGGTTAGGTTGAAAATTTGCGAGAGGCTCAAAATTACTTGCTAAATCATATTGGATTTGAACAAGCTAGACTGAGAACTAGTTTCTGAAGAGAAACATCACCTTTTTCAGCCAGTTGCCTTCCAATTACTTTTGAATACTACATTCTAGTAACCCAGACAACATGAACAGAAGTTGAACTTTGAAAATTGTGGTGGGTCCAGACTTGGATATTAATATAATATATAATGTTAAAGTCTAAGGCTACCAGTAGTAGGAATGCAAACCTGTCCTTAATGAGATTAATAAGCACCACCAATTATGTTTAATAATCTTATTGTCAATATTAAATATTAAAGTTGCTAAACTCTGAAGCACATTATAGGCAAGATCACATACTTTCAATGTAGTCTTTTCTGGAAGATAACTTACTTGATGAGGTTCTTCGTTGCATCTGGATCCTGGGCTATCACTTGCCCAATGATACTGCCTTCTCTGACATCTTCATCAACTTCTATTAAATGAGATGGTAAATTAAAAACAGGTGGCTCATCGACGTCTTCCACGTAAACTTTGACCAAAGCTGAATCTCTAAATGGTCCCAAGTAGAAAAATCGTGGGTCGGGATGAATGTTAGTCGCTTCTACTTTTAGGTTATATTGATTCTTCTTTTCAAAATCTAATTGCTTGCATCCAAATATGGAAGGCAAGGAAGAGAGAAAGGGAGAAAAAATAATAATAATTACCTAAGTACTTTTTTAAATAAATAAATAAATAAATAAGCATTTTTTGAAAACCTGTCTTCTGAATTGCGCTGCAGTTCTATACACCAGCAGTTAGCGCTGTAATGCCCTAAATTAAAGTCAATTTAAAATTAGGCCAAATCTCACAGCATCAATCATGTCACCATCTGACAGTAACTGTCATGAATGTCAGTTCAAATAAACCATTTTAAGAGATTTCAAACTACGACATATGAGATCTTGGGAAAAGGAAGCTTGTGGAAATCTTGTAAGGTTTAATGAACCAGGAAAAATTCATTTGTTTAAACACAAAAACTTAAGAAATGGAAATTAGAACTTGAAACTGACAGCTGTTGGATATATTTGTCTGTTTCACTGAACTCACTGAGTTTTACTTAGGATTACATTCTTAATAGCTTTTTCAAATACCTATGTTTATATTTTCTGTATTCAATCGTGTATCTTCCATCAATTGAATGATTTTTTAAAAATGATTTTAATGGTATCCTTTTAGCATTCCGCAAATGCTTTTCCAGGTTTTTTGTTAAACAACTTGATAAATACTTGATATAATTTAAACATCCAGTACTTTAATAGTCTTTTATTTTTAGTGTGTGTCAATATGGTTAGAAAAATAATTTGAAAAATTCATTTGAAAAATTGCTCCTTTCAATAAGAAAATACTTACTGAGTTTTAGTATAAAAAATAACATGGAAAATGAAACTCTTATAAATTAACATTCTATTTCATCCCAGTTTTGGGTTATTCTATTACTGGCAGCTAATACTATTAAAAAAGATGTCATGCCTCAAATTTCAAAGCAGAGCAGTGAATCATATTCTATTTTCAGATAGGAAGTGTTGGTTCGTGTACAACCAAATTTCAATGGTCTTGTCTTTCAAGTGTCAGTATGAATCAGTGAGATAACACACCATAGAAAGTTTTTACATATACATGAGCATCCCAAGCTCATATACAATTTGTATAGTTATTTCAACAATCAGTTCCATTGAAAACAACAGAAGGGAGTTTGTGATTGCATTTAGAACTTTGAAACAATGCAGTTACTTCTTTTTTTTATCTATTGAACTTTGTCTGTTGCAATGCTATATCATTCTGGGCTCATTCTATCAATCAATACAAATCAGTGTTTCATTTCAAAAGTGCTGAAACATGCTACATTTGGCATGAATCATTAGGTTCAATCTGCATCTCGCTGAGATCAATGGTTAAATTGCTGTTGGTTTGGGTAAATCAGAATTACACTTATTCCAAAGGAGTCCTTCAAAAATGAATGCTAAATGTAGGTCGGCCAGAAATTGTTCTTCTTTGGTATAAATCTTTCAAAAATCATTTCAAATTAATCTCGACTCAGCAGTTTCTCTAAGGATATACTGCAATATAAGTAACAGACTTTTTTTTTTTACAAGCTTAAATTTAAAAAACAAAGCACTAGATGCTGAAGAGTACATGTTAGTAGACAGGTGAAATATGGGCAACTGTTAGTAAACAGGTGAAATATGGGCAACTGTATATTGGCTTTCATGGTTAACTATCATAGCTCATACTGAATAAGACAAACATCTTGTAGCTGATTGTGGGATGTATAAATTAAATGCATGGAGGCATGCTTGGGGTAAAACTGAACTTCGTTGCAATAAGACATACTGGCTATAATGGACTGAGATTTGAAAATATTACTATTCGGTTAGCAGGAAATGTGCCATATAATACATGTATAAGTAAGGGCAATACTTCTAAAAAGTTTTATGTGAAAGCCTTGATTGATCAAAGTCATGATGGGCAACAGAAGTCAATATCCACAGGCCATTTAGGAATGGCCATATCATATGGAAGACTATGACTTGGAATATAAAGGGAATAAATGATAAATAGTATGAACTGATGGATGCACTAAAAGAAAGATAATAGAAAAGTTTTATCACACTGAAACCAAGAGAAAATGGAAACATAAAACAGACTGATACTGAGGTGGTTGAATCTTCTGAAATGGAACTAATAAATCATAGCATGAAAATGAAGATGTAGGTTAAATTTGGAAGAAATAATTCAGGAAGTAGGAACTGTTGCCAAACAGACTGTTGTGTATGTATGAGAAAAATAGGAAACCATAGATTAGTGATACTTTTATATTACATTACAGAGAATTGTAATAATGTAAGAAGCAGCGATGACTTGGGGGAAGAGAAATTGGGCAAGATTTTAAATTAATGCAGAACAGGAAGAAAATATTTTGTTAGGTGGCAAAAAAAGCTAGCTGGGGATGAGGCAAGACCATATAGAAAAAAAAAATAAATGGGCCATTTGAAGAACCAACAATGCATCAGGATACTGATTTTTGATGATTAACTTCTTCGAAAATGGTTCACTTGTTTTGAATGCATGGTTTAAGTGCAAATCTTTTCACATGCAGACATGGTAAAGGAATGGATGCAAATTAAAAGCATGACTGGTTGGTTTATAAGAAAGACTGAGACAATTATTGAAGGTTACAAGAATGATGAGAAATATTGAATATAAGGCAGATCCTTGTTCGGTAGGGCCAAAAATGAATCCTGAGGAGAAGAATGGCAATGGAAACAAGTGAAATGTACTGGAGTGATAATGGGACTTTGGTACCTAAGAAATAAGAAACAAAAAGACTAATCAAGAATGACTGGGTACTGAATGAATGTGGTGCTGCATACAAAAGGGAATTATATTCATTGGGATTATTTGGTCATGTCAAGAAAAGGATGGAGGATGGAAGTTCAAAACGAATTTATGGAGAAAGAGTTAATGGGTTAAAAGGACTAGTAGTTGGATTGTAGATATCCTAAAAAGAAAGAAAGAAAGAAAGTTTAAAGAAAATAAATCAGGGAGCTCCAATGGCTGAACTTTGAACCCAGCTCTCCTTGGGCCTAGCCTAACACCTTAACAGTGTCCTTGCACATAGCTACAGAATCTTTTACCAGCCACAACAGTTGGATTTCCCCTGCCTTTTATCTCCCTGTGAATAAACAAAGTAGGCAACACATGTCAAGAGTTCTAATTAAAGTTTTAATGAACTACATGGGTATCAAACATGCAGCATCACGTTGCCCTCACGTGACTTTTGCAATGTTTTTTCCCTTCATGGAGCTGGCATGGGCATGGCCTATGCATGAAGCATCTGGCCTGTGGGTCGCCAGTTTGACACCTCTGATAAAGCATATTCCTGCAACAGCCGTTGTTAGGGCAATCACTGGTTGTAGGAATAGCTCTAAGGCTGTGTGGAAGTATCCAAAGTTTATATATACAAATATTATCTGTGTTGCTTCTTTGGGATGTGGTAATGAATTGGGATAAATTTTGAATGAAAATAAAAGTGATTTCTTACATCTGACCTATGGACTGAATTAGTCCCCCCAGGTTCATTTGTAGCTAATGAAAACTAAGTTCAATGTAAACCATGGTTTCTGTTTCAGGCTTCTTTGAATTTTGTTGTTAGTTGTGAAGTTGTGTCCGACCCATCGTGACATCCGACCCATGTTCCTCCAGGCCTTCCTGTCCTCTACCATCCTCTTGAGTCCATTTAAGATCATGCCTACTGCTGCAGTGACTCCATCCAGCCACCTTGTTCTCTGTCATCCCCTTCTTCTTTTGCCCTCAAGCTTTCCCAGCATTAGGCTCTTCTCCAGTGAGTCCTTCCTTCTCATTAGGTGGCCAAAATATTTGAGTTTCATCTTCAGGATCTGCCTTCTAAAGAGCAGTCAGGTTTGATCTCCTCTAGGACTGACCAGTTTGATCACCTTGCAGTCCAAAGGACTTGCAGGAGTCTTCTCCAGCACTATAGTTCAAAGGCCTCAATTCTTTGGTGCTCAGCCAACTTTGAATTCTTTGAATTAACCACACTTTAATAAGAAATAGTCAATCTAATTCTTTGCAGATACTTTGAACATTAACTTCCATCAGTCTGTTGATTATTACTAATAGCAAAGAACTGTGAGAAACCAAAATATCAGGAAGACAGATTGCCTGCCTCTGGTTTAAATTATCTTGAAGCCTACCTTAGGTAAGATGACAAATTGTAGGGAATTAAAAATGGAAAAGTCTCCACCAATATAAATCTGCCCCTCCACAAAAGACCTGATGAAGATAAAAAGGATAATTTTCTCTACTAAAATTATCTATTCAGGCTTTTTGTTGAGGGACCTAATTCATATGAAAGACATGATTGAAACTAAAATTACATGAAGAGAGAAAGCTCTCATACCATTTTCATGCTGTTATAATGCTATCCTGGTTTGTTATACTGCAGTATTGTCCTGATTAATAATATGAGAGAGATGGGAAAAGAAGATATGTCAACAAGAAAAATATTCTGTTAATTAACTCTTTCATAGTTCTTATTTCTGTTAATCTAGCCTAGAAGTAATACCAATCTTGATTTGGACTACTAGTGAACTACTAAACTGTACTGGTTTCACAGAAGAAAGCATCCACATTTTATAATATTTATGTAATTTATGCATAAACACACATATATTCATCATTCCAGGTGCATATTGTTCCTATTCACTACCCTTTGACACTAGGGATAACAGATATATGTATTTGCAGATCAGCATACAGACAGATTTTCTCTCTTTTTAAAGATGATTTCTGGGCAGAGACCATCTGCTACTGGTAGATGGGCCATCAAGAGAAATGTGAAGCAGATGCCTAGAGCCAGCAATTCCTTATTGGAACTCTAATTTATCCAATAAATTTTTTTTGGCCTGCAGCTGATTTCCCCATTTACTTAAACAGAGCTGACATAATGTATGGTGGACACCATAAAAAGACATTTCAAAAAGTCACGAGTTTTCAGATTCTATCATAATAATATCTCAAGTGGAAACTTCAGAACCCAAGTGCTCCTGACAAGAATTGTATCATATTTTTCCTGTTTTTATTTATCTTTATAGAACTCAATGAAATAAGTGCTATAAGGCCAGGCAGGGAGAGAGGGAAATATCCAGTAGGGATCTCTGGACAAATACCTCATTAGAAACTGGACTTCCTTTGCATCCTATTTTCAGGATACCACATAAACAGTTGGGTATTTCCAGCCTTTAGAAGGGAAATAGTAGACTTCAGCTAGCCAGCCAGCTTGCAAATTAGAATGGGACAACTCGCTACAGTCCACTCGCTGTGGCCAACTCACTACAGCCAACTTGCCATGGTCAACTCCCTGTAGCCAACTCACCACGGTCAACTTGCCATGGACCACTCGCTGCAGGACAATTTAACAATTCAATTTAATTATTTCAAATAAATAAAAACATATTTTAATTTTTGTCATTCACATTTCATTTTCTCCCTCTTTTAATGATTCAATTCCATCATTTCTTTGATATTAGTGTAACTCTTGGCCCTGTGAGTTGCCCTGTGAGTTGGCTGTGATGAGTTGGCCACAGCAAATTGTTATATACCCCTTGCAAAATTACCTTAACTTCTTTTACATGTTCAATAGAACTTTCACATTAATACTTCTAAAGTTACATGCCCACAAATTTCAATGCATCTGACAGGAAAGAACAGAAGGAAGGAAGGAAGGAAGGAAGGAAGGAAGGAAGGAAGGAAGGAAGGAAGGTTGGTTTGAAGCTTAACACCTGCTAGTTTCTCTGGAGTTGACCTTTCATGAAATCTGATCCATCCTCCAGCTGGAAAAGGAAATCTAAAACCTGAAGTGCCAAGTCCAATAAAAGACAAAGAGGAAAATAAACCTTTTTGACTGTTAAAATCCCTTCTTGTGTGTCCTTGTCAGTGATGATATCAAACATGTCAGATCCATCGCCGGCAGCAATGCTGTACTCAATTGCAGCATTTTCACCCACATCGGGGTCATTGGCTTTTATTCTGCCAAGTGAAGTCCCAAGCGGTGCAGACTCTAGAGAGCTAAACTGATATGTGCCTGGAAAATAATAATAATAATAAATTAGAAGCATAAGTGTCTATGTGTGTATATATAGATGTGCACCTAGGTATTCAACTATATAAATGACTTTAAAAATTCAACAGAAACAAGTTGCTCAGCTTCTCACTGAGTACAAGAAAAATATAAAACCCAGCAAATTTGAACACAGAGCTAATACTGGAGAAATAAACATTATAAAAGAAAATAGAATGCTGATGGAATACAATCTTCTTTGATCTGTTACCTATAAGTTTTAGATTATAGGTGTAAACAGTAGATACTTAGCAGTACTAATGGCCCAATCCAGTGTCCCTGGAAAGTATACAGGTGTATCTATTGAAATATAATTTCTAAAGTCAATGTGTATTAATTTTTAAAGTTTATAACAGATTGCAAAGTAGTCAGTCTTGGGATAAAAATGTCACCGAAATTTGCCTGAAGCTAAAATTGAAATGACTCCAGAGGGTTGTTGAGGCACGACATCTGTTATAATTTTCAGAGCAAGTTTCAAAGAATTTTAATAAGACTGGCACATTTGGAGGGAGGGCATTTTGAGGGTAAAAGTAGTATCCTGCCAGCCCACAACCACTTGCTATAGCAATTAAATAATAAACAAATAAACAAGCGAATGACTGTATTGTAGACATTGTAACATTTAAAGAGCAAGCTGGACTGTCACGTTGAACACCTTAAAGAAAACTTGGTGGCATCTAGATGAAGGTTCTTGAAAAACCAAGCGAGGTAAAATCTGGCTATTGATTAGTATACCATCAAGGTATACTAGGGCAAGGGGGCTAAAGAAATATGGAAGAAGGTGGCAATGGTAATGTCAACTCTGAATCTGGCCCGACTGAGACCATTTTTGAGGATTCAGTGTTGACACACTGGAGCTGAGGGATAGGGATGGGGGGGAATAGAGATAGCTGGGGTTTTGTAGCCAAGACAAAACAGTTTCTCTTGGGAACCAAGGATGTTCCAACACAGGTGGATGCGGAGAGAAGAAGTGATATTATCTAGCAACTGGCTTAGCAGCTAGATTGAATAATGTGACTTATTGTTTGGGGGAAAGGGAAACTTTTACTTTTTAATTAGGTGAAAACTGTGAAAACTCTCAGAGTTGGTTTTTACCAGTCTGTGCCAATATGATCTCTCCAAATAAAACTGTTCTTTGAGGAATCTACCTGCCTCATAGTTCTGTTTGCTATGGGTATATTACTTAGAAAACTGACAGGTAAACCACTTCTGTATTATGAGCTATTATGGATTAACAGTGAAAACACTCAAGGTCCAAGTCTTCCCAAATTAATTATCTTTCTGTGAAACTCTAGAGTAAAGGAACTCTCTCCTCCTTGCTTTAGGAAGCTTTGAAAAACAAAACACCAATACTTACATTTCTTAATCCAGTTAAAAGGTTGGCTTACTTGCTGATATTGGCTATTGGGAGCTCCTGCTTATTTTCAATAGCTAATATTAATTACACACAAGAATGGAATAATTTTAACTGCACATTTTAACTGGATGACTAATTACTGTATACTGTAATATAGCATAATAGTATCATAAGGAAAGTATCTTGAGGCTACTTCTGGGTTGAAAGGTGATATTAAAAAAAATTAAGTGACTAACGAAAGCTATTTATAAATGAAGTTATTTATATCAGTGTGTTACATAGATTTATGTGGATGCTTTGCCAAATGTGACTACACAAAAGTTGGTGAATAGATAATACGGTAGCTACTTCTTAAACTAATAGGCTCATTTGAAGGAAGATTTTTCAAGATACCAACATAGAATCTGGACCCTTTTAGAAACTGATTACTTGCTTGCAATGTTGGGATAAAGGACTCTAATGCTTGCATGGAAATTCATTACAGGTAGTCCTTAATTTATGACTGGTCACTTAACAAACGTTTGAAATTATAACAGAGTTAAGAACAGAGGTGGGTTTCAGCAGGTTCTGACCAGTTCTGGAAAACCAGTAGCAGAAATTTTGAGTAGTTCAGAGAATCGGTAGTAAAAATTCTGACTGGTCCCATCCCCATCTATTCTCTGCCCCCCAAGTCCCAGCTTATCAGGAAGAAATGGGTATTTTGCAGTTACCTTCCCCTGGAGTGGTGAGGGAATGGAGATTTTACAGTATCCTTCCCCTGCCACGCCCACCAAGACACGCCCACCAAGCCATGCCATGCCCACCAAGACACGCCCACAGAACCGGTAGTAAAAATTTTTGAAACCCACCATTGGTTAAAAACAAGTTACTTACGACCAATCTTCAAATTGTGACTGCTGTACCACCTGCAAGCTTACAATATCACACTTTGGGTGCTTGGCCACCAGCTCATATTTACGACAGGTTGCAGCATCCCATGGTCATGTGATTGTACTCTCCACCAAAAAACACCCATTTTATTATTTATTATGACCACATGATTCATTTTACATCCACATGATTTGCTTGACAACTGCATGATCACTGTAAAAATAGTTGTAAAATTGATTCCAGTCACATGGTGACTCAAATTTCCATCAAAATTCGGGTCTGAATTGTGGTTGTAAGTCAAGGACTACCTGTATCTGTGTCTCTCCTTATTCTTTTTTATAAACAACCTGGAGACTTTGATCCACAATACAGACAGTAAACACTGCATTTGTTGTCATAGAAGAAAAATATTTCTGTTTTTTTTATTATATAACTCAATGATAAAGGATTTTGTTGAATCTTTTGGCATTTCTAAGCAGGATTTCAGAAGATTCTCTCTAAAACCTTTGAAAATTAGTGTAAACTATTCTCAGGTAGATGGATCAAAGGTCTGACTTTATATATCTTGATTATTATATCCTTTTCATTTAAGAAATTTTGTTAGCTAGACACTGGGGCTCCTTCTAAAACTGCAGCAAAAAAAAAAAAAAAAGTATGTCCTGCTTGGAAGTAATACCACAAGAGGCAATAAAGCTTATTTTATACCATAAGTATTACAAACTTATATAATTGATTATGGTGGCAAGAGATGATGGAAGTTTAAATTCTTGGATTCCAGCTTGCCTATTTCTATTTTTGACAATTTCAGATATGGTGTTCAAAGTCAACAGAATAAATAAATAATAAATAATAAATTGCTGTGTACTTTTCTGATTATTAAGAAGCTGTTGAACTGTCATAAAGGGCAGGTCCACGAGGAATTTATTGCACAAGTACTTGAGGCCTAAAGTTGTCTTTAGGGTTTGTCTTTAAAACATAGGAAAGACATTTAAAAGTCACCAAAGACTCTCTGTTCTCTTACCAAACAATTTACATTGATGCAATCAGACAGAGACTTATTCTACGCATTAGGTGGAGGAGAGCAAAAGTCTGAAAAACTAAAGACTTTGCAGACTTTAATTATGCTACAAATATTTATTATTATTATTATCGGTCATCCATTATTTTAAATCTTTCCTCCCACACCATCCATAGAAACACTCACACAAATTTCCTTCCAATATCCTAAAGTCTAACTGATGGTTACAGGCTTGACTAATTAATTTTGTAGTGACATTCCAAGTTGTAAACGAATGTTCATTTGTACATTGAAATTGTTTTCTTGAAATAAGAGTCCCATCATCCACATGCAGCCAAAACTGCAGTAAGTTTGAATTCTATCATTTTAGTCTGCCACCACATTCTGTCTAATGTACAAGTCTTGCACCAACTTTATAAAAAAAAAGAAAAAGCTTATTCAGAAATAAGTCATACTGAGTGTAAACTGTCCCGCAGTAAATACACACTGAATTACTGCCACTTATCAGATACAGCAGAATAATTTAATGAATGCTAAAAAAATAAATAGGAATCCTCAATCCGTATTTTTCTACATATATTTGCACCAGAAATTTAATTAAACTTGTGCTCGCATACTGAATGAATGACAGTTTAAACTATTGTAATCACCGTTCAGGTTTTTGAGTTTGAATTTCAATGGGCAAGGATTAAACTTAAACAGCCTTCAATCAATGTTGGCAAATACTGAACATGCTGTCTTCAAGAAAATCTGATGAAATGTTGATGCACCAAAAGACAGATTTTTGTCTTTTTAAAAGAAAAGTGACTCTGTTCTTCCCCTCTTCCCAAAATAAAATGAACAATTTATTCTAAATATTATGCATATTCTATAACAGCATTTAACAGGATAGTATGTATTTATTTAATAAATAAATTTGTATACCACCCATTTCACTGTTTAGGGTGACTCCAGGTCAGGGGTGAAATCCAGTAGGTTCTGACAGGTTCTGGAGAACCAGTAGTGGAAATTTTGACCAGTTCGGAGAATCAGTAGCGGAAATTTTGAGTAGTTCAGAAAACTGGCAAATACCACTTCTGGCTGGCCCCCGAGTGGGTCGGGAATGGGGATTTTGCAGTATCCTTCCCCTGCCACGCCCACCAAGCCACGCCCACAGAATCGGTAGTAAGATTTTTTGGATTTTACTACTGCTCTATGTGGATAATAATATAATAAAAATAGAGATATAAAAACCATTATAAATATAAATATATTATGTATGGGAAAAGAACTTTCCATAGGGTAATATTTCTCAACTTTAAGATATGTGGACTTCAAGTCTCACAATTCTCAGCGAGCATGCTGGCTGAGGAATTCTGGAAACTGGAAGTCCAGACACCTTAAAGTTGACATGGTTGAGAAATACTGCTTTTGGAGGAGATTAAATTAGCATACAAGGTACCAATTACCAGTTTTCAGTACATCAGATATGCACTAGGAAAAAAAGTCTGTTGTCAGCATTTTTCTGTTACAGAAGCAAATGGCTTTTTTCCAAATAACCACATATATACATTGCTTCTGTTGTTCACTACAATTTTGCCAATTTCTGTTCACTTACAGTATACTTTTTGCAGCTGATAGATGCCAAAGGCATTTGTATGAAGAAATTTAACAGTCAGTTGCTTCGTAGGGGAGTGGGAGAGGGAACTATGATGTCTGTAACGATGTCACTTCACAAAT